TATCTAGGTATGTTCAACTGTATTTATCTAGGTATGTTCAACTGTATTTATCTAGGTATGTTCAACTGTATCTATCTAGGTATGTTCAACTGTATTTATTACAAGTATATTATAAATTTTGGGATAAGTAGAAGTTCTCTTCTACAGTATCTGTTGCAGGTTTACTTAAGGGTGTAAGTAGGAATTGATGAATTAGTTGAATTTGGTTGGTGATAAATGTATGTATGTTGTAGAGATGTCAACATTTTTATATTTTTCTAGATTTTAGCTTTCGTTACGATGGTGTTCATCAAAAGTATAAACGTTTGAAACGTTACGTTGCACATTATGAAATTGTATGGCATAGAGTAACGTTACGTAATGAATTCTCTGCACTTGAATACCTTATGCAACGTTAAGCTTTAGTAAATGTTAGTGAAAAAAGTAAACTCCGTTATGCTTTAGCATTTTCTGTTTTAAAAAACTTTCCCAACGTTGCGTTAAAGCTTTTGTAATATAACCACAATTGTTTAGCCTTCCACTTTCATGCAAGGTAAATATTATCAGAGACCTTACGTTACACTTTTACTTGGTTTGAAAATTAAAAGGTGACAGACGTGTTGCTTTCATTAAACGTCCTTGGGGCATAGTTCTGTACGTTACAATGCATTTCAGTGCAAAGAATGTGTTTTTTACAACTGGCAATCAAAACTGTTTATTCGTTTCGTTTTTAAGAAAGATTTGAAAAAGTGCTCTATATGTTGTGTTTTATTAAAATGTTTAAGCCTTAACGTTTCTTACGTTACACTTCATTAAAAATAAAATTGTTTCTAAATGAAAGGATGTACATGATTTTTTCCGTGATAATTACATTTCTACTTTAGTATTTTTCATCCTAAAACATGAACCATGCAATAACAAAAAATTGTGTTGTTAATCCCTTTTTATCCACTTTGTATGTTGCTGTTGAATTGTTAACCTTTTTAGAGAATGTGTAGCAGAATATAAAATATAAAGATGTTATAATATTAATATTTTTACCAGTTTTTAAAATTTGTGAATGAAAATTTTAATCATTAGACTTTC